CACTGTTTGATTGATATTTGTTTTATTGATTGCTATACCAAATGAATGCATGAAATAACCTTAAATAGATTTGGTAATATGAAGTATATCAATTCGTGTCTTTTTTTTACATTTCTACGAAGTATTCACAATGCTTTAATATTTTGAGAGCATGGATAAAGACATATTGTTAGTTTGATACGTGTTTCTGTGGTTAAATTTGTGTTTCCAGCTGTGTACTGAAAGCAATCCTTTACTTAAGCAGTTTTTTTTTTTTTTTTTTTTTTGGGACTGTTTTTTTTTTTTTTTTCGTTGTCTGCTCTCGCACCGATTTTGGGGTACCCAGAGGATGTCATCCATAAAAATAAAAAAGTGTGGCCATACTATGAAATCTTATTTAGTGTGATTACAATCCAAACACTTAATATACCCAAACCACTCATTTAACACACATAAAACTACTTCTAGTCACAAACGCCATACACCCTTACAAATAAAAAAGTAAGTCTATATCTCCTGACTTATACACATATTATAAAACAATGTACATAAAAACGAACGTATTAACATTTGTTGCATTGACAATATTTCAGTGACTCAAATGACATATTCCAAAGCAATAATGATGTCCGACACTAATACCAAATTGTTTAAATGTAGATACATGCATTCCAGTAAAATGTATATCCAGTATATATATATATATATATATGATTAAAGTATTCGGACTAAAAATATAGATATCGAAATTTTAAAAAGGCTAAAATGGCTTGCATTGACATTAACTACAGGCGTATATGAAATCACAATTATGAAAATATAAACCATATCCCACGTAAAACATCATGAGCCCATCATGCTTTAAACGTAAATATTCTATCACTTTTGAAAAACATGATGCTCACCTGAACAGGTGTGTTAATACTGCAATATTGTTTGTGTATAGACATTATTTAAATAAATATGAACTATATCCCACACTGGGTCAGTGGCATATGCACATTATTTGTGCCATGAGCATTACCGAACTGTTTCCTTAGACCAGCTTTCAGGAAAACACTCCTTCAACTACTGTATAAAGATGTAGTTTATAAAATTACAAATACATATGTAAATTGTCGGGGCCTTTTCAAGTGGTTTGTCTAAAATACGGGATATAGGGTTATCGAAATAAATCTAAATAATTCAACCTTGAGATATTTTGGAAATCAAAAGTCCAACGAATGGCTTGAATGATAAATGTAAGATGTAAAATTTGAATACTTTGATCATGCCAAAAACGCCTTCACGGTGCCACGAATAGCACTCCTGCAGATGGGACAATTGGAAAGTGCGGGTGCGCACGTGGTACAACACACGAGGTGGGCACACGGCAACAGAACAACAGACGAGTCATCATCCATGCATACCTTGCACATTCTCTGGTCTTTTAACTCAGCGTTTTCCTTTCTTATCTTGTCTGCTGTAGCGGGACTCTCCTTTTCTTTATTTTGGGCTTTAGCGCTTACATTTTTGGGCTTTTCTGTCTTTTTCTTGTTTTTAGCGGAATTTTGGTTAGAGGTTTGATTAGCTGAAGCGCCTATACTTTCGTTTTGCTGACTATTTTGCGCCGCCCTCTTCTCTTCCTCTTCAATGTCTAATAAAGCTTCTATAAAAGTTTGCAAATTGGGGAAATCGTCCCCCGTGGTTCTCAGACGCTTTTCTATCGTTTTTCTCACCAAGTCACGTGAGTACCCCATCTCAATAACTTTCTGAGCAGAGGGTGTGTCTAGCCTAGCCTTTATCTCGCGCGCTTCTACGTGAAATGAACTACCATTATTTGTATTCTGCTGAGCCACTCCCCTAATGAACGCTACACCCTTGCATTGTTTAACAAACCCACACCTAGGAAACCATCGCGCATGCTCAGTCCATACGTCATCCTGGGGTTCCCAGTTTCTAAGACCTCCGCTACAGAAGAAACATTTTACATTGTCCCCAAACCCTGCATAAAAGAACCCGGATGTAGCTAATTCTCTCGGCGTTTGTTTCTTATCTATGGGCCACGTGCGGAAGGTGTTTATCCTGTTCTGTTCTAAAGCATATTCTGGATGTTTTGGTCTGTCCGTTACTATGGGATTATCTTCTATCAGATTATCTAAAATTATACCTCTTTGAAAACCACGAGAACCGTTCTCTGAACCAGGGACGCTGCTTTGAGAATTTCTAGTAACATTATTTTGGGTTGATACACCTCTATCTAAGTTATAAGAAAAATTACTTGAGCTAAAATGAGGGCGATTGTTAGACTCTATATTACGCTGGCTCTGTTGTACGAAGGAGCAATTAGGGAAGTGTCTGGCGTGTTCGTCAAAGGCGCGGTCCCCCCTCTCCCAGTTTCTGATCATTCCGTCACAGAAGGCGCACTTCACCATGTCGTCAACGTTCACGTAGAAGAAGCCGGCTCTAGCGAGATCTGCCGGTCTAACAGGGCACGTGGTTGGAAAACTGGAATTAAATGAATATAGGGTTTAAAATGGCAAAATTGAAAATGAAGAAAGCGATGAAACAACCCTAAAACATTTATTTGCTTTACATCTACTCGCATTCGCTATGAATTATCAATAAATATATAACCAAGTATACAAAAATATATTAAAATTTTGCAATAATTGCACAGGTTTTTCCCCAGCTAGGCATGTGGTAAACGGGGTTTTAAAATTATAATTATATCAACAGCATTAAATATAATGGTGAAAGATTTCGGAGAAAAAAATTGTATGTCGAAAACATTTTTCCTAATAGTGTTAGAACTGAGAATTAATCATTAGGATAAGTGATATTCAGAAAAGCACAAGGCCTTATTTCTTGCTTATAAATATTAGGACATACATGTAATTAAAGCAAAGGGACCCTTTACATAATACTAATTTCAATTTTTAAAAATCCACTTCTCTCCACCTTCCTCTCATCCGCATCTCTTCTGTAGAGTCGTCTATAATATCGAGATCAGAATGACAAATACTCACTTTATTAATAATATATCCGTTACTTTAACGCGCATACAAAGGCAAGTCCAGCAGGAATATCTGTCTAAAATGCTAATTGCTGTAGGTGATCCAATGGTTTAGGAATAAATCTGTGGAGTGAATCGTTTCGAAGATCCCAAACTTGCATCATCGCCCTTCATATCTCAGCAAGGAAGCAGGCATCGTTTGGCAAAAAAAGACTGAATCAGATGAAGACTGTCTCGATGGCGAGAACTTTCAGGTGTGTCAGCTTTATTTTCATTAAATGTTGAAGGATTTTGTTGCAGAGAGAGACATTATTACTCACCTTTGAAAAGTGGCCAGTCGTGTAAGTTCGTCTCGCATAGAATCAGTATGAGAGCTGTCTTGATGGTTAAGGTGACTCTGGAGAGGAACTGGCCTTGAAGACTGTCTACTTATTGGCGTAGTATTGTTAGTAGCCGCGTTGTCTGGTTCATCCAGGCCTGTACTTCTTGGTTGAGATCGGGATTGTGTTGTGAATTGAGTTAGAGAAGACAGCGGCCGCCTGCTGCCTAGTGCATCAGCTACAGCGCTTATCGGCTTCGTGGATGAAGTGGTTTCGTCAACGGTCGATGCAGTAATCGGTACGTTGTTTTCATCTTGCCCAAGTATATGTAAACAATTGGGAGATAGCGCTGAGTGTTTCTGAAAAGGGTTGTCTCTTATCTCCCAGTCTTTTATCAGTACGTTACAGCTATAACAGCGCACTTCATCCCCTCTTCCCATATAAAAGAGCCCTGCTTTGGCGAGTCGTGTAGGTGACGCACTAATTGAAGCAGACGGCCAGGTCTTAAAGGAGAGCAAACGCCCGACCTCAAACTTGTACTCATTGTGGTCTCCTCTATCACTTTGCTTGGAGGCTGCGTAAGCTCTGAGGCCAAGGGACGTCATTCATGCTATAAAAATTAATACATTAATGAAGTATGTATCGTGTAATTTTTCAATTGTTGTATGCAATATCAAGGTACATGTAGTTATTGATTACATGCTTTACTAATTGTCGGAGTCACTACAGGAACGACTTCTGCGTATACATGTAGCGTGCACGTGCAGTGTCGGTTTATCAGATTTTTGTTCAATACAAAGATATACATAATTGTTACTTTAAGGATTTTGGTGTCAGATTTTCGGTGAAGACTCATACACTCATAAAAATTTTTCCTGAGGTGAACGGTACTCGCTAATTTTATAACACTTCTCCCTTTAATCCTCCTTTTTTTGGCTATCGCCCTAACTTCATTACACTTTGGCTACATTTAAGTCCTTAACAATGGTTAAAAGTGGGTCCTTCAAATTTTGTCATCACTTCAGTATCTGATTTTTGGGTCGAAATATGATAAATCCGTCGAGAGATGATAAATCCAAGACATTTGTTATATAGAATTTAATTGGCCTGAGACAAGTAAAACAGAAATGTGATTGTTAATTGAATGTGTACTTAAAATGTGCACTTTGTACCTTTAAAGTAGAACAAATCATTAAGAAAAGTCGTGCAAAATTCAGTTTGGTTCAAAATGTAACCCTTATCATTTATTTAGTGATTTTTTTTTTTTTTTTTTTTTTTTTTTTTTTTTTTTTTTTTTTGTAAAATAAAGACGATTTTATCTTCCATTAAAATTTGCGAAATGCCATAACCCGGATCTTTCGAGGTTCCAAGACTCAGAGGGCAACAATGATATTATGTACAGCTCAACTTTCATTTGCTGGTTTTATCGTGTTTACGTCAGGATAGAGATAAGGTTCTGAGCATGATAAAGATACGACTTTGGGACTTTTTCAGACATGTCTGGATTACCTTAAATTGTCACATAAAATACTATGTGTGCAGGGAATTAAACTTAGAAAAATGCTTCGGAAAAAGAGGATGAAAGCATTAAATGCACGCAACCAAGTTGTTTACCGCACCTGTGGTGCTCACCTGGACGCCGATTACATGAAATATGCAAGACTTCTACATGTAATCATGAACAAAATTACAAAGGGACTTGAAGCGCGGTATGTTTCGTTATTATATCCAAGATGTAATGGAAATGAGGAATGGTTAAAGTTAATACTTTTCAAAAAAAACCTTCACATTATTTATCATTAATCTCTGACACCAAAGCACCCCCCCCCCCCCCCCCCCCCCCAGCATGCTCACGTCCTTGGTGTACAAAACACGTTTGGATCACATTAAACTGTCATCTCGACATATAATACATTGTGTGTGCGAGGAGTTAAAATGAGAAAAATGTACTAGCTGGGACGGCCCAAGTCTGAATGGGATTCTAGTTAAATTACAATCTGTGGAATCATCTTAATTGTCTGACAAAGGCTAGGGGGTAATAAACTATCGTGATGAACTAACTTGCTGATTAAGTTGATTCCACTGATTGCACTTCAGTGCCAATCTAAATGCAGAGCTGGCCCGACCAAGCTAATACGATGCGTGAAGCAGAATATGCACTTACATGTAATCTAAGAATGATGTAGTTTAACGTGCAAAGCCTTCTAGTTATCAAGGAATAATTTAAACTTGTACTATAGATGACTAATAATAGCTTTTCGCGGGCTTTTCAATTTGAACTAAAAAGCGAGTGTTGCTGTGAACACGTGTACTTACTGAGTGCCGTAGACACACCAGATGCGTAGTTTGCGTCCTGGGTCTGTGCTAGTCAGGTAATTACCTGATTTAGACGACGCATTAGATTATATTTGCTACATGAACCGACGATTAACTTCTCGCTTATCACAAAATGTTCATCAGAAAACTCCCCTGCACTCGTAGTACCAGTAGGGGACGTACATGTAATAATCAGTAGTGGGAATCTTATTAAGAGACAACAATGCTAGACTAAAGCACTCTCAGTGGCACTACCTATGACTGTGGGCGGGTTGTACTAAGTACATTAAGCAAAGAGGTGTAAGGTTGTCTCCCCTTTACAGTAACCGTGGACATATTACGAATTCGTAATTTGTCCAAGCAGTAACGTATCATAGTGTCAAACAGAAAGAATTAGTTCATTAGTAAAAAAGTACAATACTGACTCCCCTTTTATCAACTTGGCACCGTGTTGGTGGAAAGGGGAATCCCCTTTCTGTTTCACCCACGATAAAATCATTTTGTTCCTTACTGATTATTACACGGTGAATGTCAAGGGGACACTGACATTGGTTAGGGAATTCTGGACCAGTAAATTTCTTACACACGTACGGTATGTTTTTCACCTCCAACCGGAGAAAGTCAAGATCCCATCAAAGATATAAATGCCACACACAAGATGTAGGTTGAATGTTTCTTCGATGTGTCTAAAAAGGGGCACCCTTTTAATGATATTTTGATTCATGTTTTTATTTATACCAACACCACATGGAATTTCATGGTTCTAAATTAATTAATTGACAAGGCAATCGTAATTGTAGTAAAAATAATGAAATTAATAGATTATATGCATATCATGACCAAGATTTTATAATAATAATTTATATGTATACCAACTTTGTGAATCTTCAAAACAACATCATAGTACAAAACTGAACAATAATATAAATACCGGTAAGTTTATTGATCACGAGAATAATGTTATAGTGTAACTGCGACAGTGGTTACTTTAAGATCAGAGATTCATATAGCAAACGCAGGAACGTTATCATTATATCGTAAGAAAATTCTAAATTTTCGAAATTATTGAGTTGAAATAACTCGCTAACAAAGCGTTGCTGGTGTTATGGGTGAATTCCCATTCTAATAACCACTTTTACGCTTGTTTAATGATCCCATAAGAACGAACATTGGACTATACTGTACATGTATCTCACTTAAAGCACTATATACAAGAAAAAATATGGCACAGAAAAACCGTAAGTAATGAATTGACGATCGTTTGACGTCTCGTTTTTTTACCTGCTAGTTAAGTCATGTGATTTTGTGTCAGGTGACAATGGAATAAAAATACTCACGTTTTGTTGTTGTTGTCCAGAATGCGTTTGTTGTGACACGTGTTGTACGCAATGTCATCTCAACCGGTTCCAGGTGTATGAGACTTCGCATCAGTTGAAAAAAGTGCAGTGGAGAAACGCTGCCCTCAGTCTGGTACCCGTATCGTCACTGACTACATGTACAAAGTATCAATGTTAACTTTTGTATTAGGATAAGATGCAGAATTTCATCAATACTTTCATTGATCAACTGATTTCTTGCAAAAATTTATGATCTGTAAACTGATCATTTTGTTCTTATGTTGGCGCTTTTTTCTCATTCATTACCGAATGTTTTGCATTTAAATGCGGTAATTTAGTGTTATTTTGCCATGACAAATACAACTATCGATTTTCTTTAAAGAAAGTACCTATCTTTTTCACTCCCTGATTACTGCAAGAATGTCAGTTGCAGTAAATATTATTCGAGCATTTAATAAATAGAACTATTGCCCACCTTTCATTGCCTTTACTTTCATTTGCAATTACCTCTTGAACACTTAAAATGGTAGACATCTACAAATAAAGCAATTAACAATTTTAAACTTCAAAATGGTTCACATCACATTATTCTCGTTACTTGTGTCAACATAAATTAAATTCGCTTTGCAAACATTGCGGGGTACAAAAGACGCAGATTTTAATATAAAAAAATATTTATTTTGATATAAAAACATATAAAATTTGCCATTTAAAAGAAAAAAGCAAATAGCCAATTTATAATGACAGTTTCACAATCATGCAAAGGTACACATCAAGTTAGTTTGAATTAAAGTTTTAATTAAAAGTGATTACAATCCAAACATAGTATTCCTAAAGTACTCATTAAAACACAGAAAAAATAGTCGTCATACATCCTTTCGTGTAAAAAGTGAGTCTAGTTTTCTTATGACTTATTTGTAAACACGCATTATGAATTATGAACATAAAAACATACATGTAAACATTTGTTGCATTGACAACATTTCAATGATTTAAATGACATATTTAAAAGTAATAATGATATCCCACATTAGATACAATCATTGTATAACCAAATAATTTAAATGTAGACCCATGTATTTCAGTAAAATGCTTTATTAAAAATTCAAAACTAGATATTTTATACCACATAAAACGTAAATATTAAAAAAATCATGCTTATCACTTATCTAATCAAGATTATCTATGTGATTAAAGTGTTCGAACTTTAAAAAAATATATCATATATATTTTTTAAAGGTTATATTGAATAAAAGAGGATTTAAAACATACACAATTTTTGTTTGGATAAAGCAAATAAATAAGATACTATGTCTGCTTTCCTTTTTGTAAATGGCATGACTTTTTTGCATTGATAATAACTGTATATAAAGTGACAATTATGAAAAAATTAGCATGTGCCGAATGGTTTAGAATGTAAATACACGTATTTTATCATGAGAGTCTGTCAGTAATTACAATTAATATTTTGATAATGTATAAACAATTGGATTTGAAAGACATGCTAATTATACAAGATGCTTATACATATTTTAAAAATATACGTATTTAAATGACTTGGACGTTAAACATAATATACCAGCTATATCTTAAGAAAATATAAATCTTTCAAGCCGCAATTTGGATAAAACAAAAATATTGTTCTGCATTGATAATATTTGAAGTGACAAGTTTGAAAATAATAAACCATATCCCACGTAATACACAAACATCATGTGTCGAATGGCTTTAAACAGAAATATTCTATCACTGTTGAAAAACGTGATTCTCATCTTAACAGGTGTGTTAATACTGTGTTTTGGCATTATTAGGAAAAATATGACCTAAATTCCACACTTGGTCAGTGGCATGTACGCCATGAGTATTATTGAACTTTTTCCTTTTACAGGAGCACACTCCCTCACCTACTGTAGAAAAATATATGCTGTTTATAAAATAACAAATAGGTCCTATATTTATGTACGTTGTCGGTGCTTTATCAAGTTCTGGAACGCTCTCTTCCTTAGTGTGAATAGAATAATGTATATAATATATGTGTGGATGGACCTTTTCCTCTGTGTCAGGCCTACATATATGTATAAATCTCCATCAATATACTAAATACTTTAACAATATATGTTGCTTTTGCTTTTCTTGTATCGGTAACTGGGTTAATGATATTAAATTCGGAAAGATGTTGCTTTTGGTGATGAAGAGGAGAGAATGGAAAATACTTTATAATAGATGACTTATTTCACAAAAAAAAGGAACATTTTCACCTTTCCCTTTTACTGTCAAACTTACTACTATTGCCACAACAGACAAGTTTAACATGAAACGTTGACTTTAACTATATCAATAACTGATCCTAATCGATAACTGCAATGATGAAAAGCAGCAGTTCTGGACCGAAAAAAAAATGTAGAAAGGATGGATCTGTACAGATGTTACCCACGACACAATATTGTTGCTAAGTGACAATGCACATGTTGTCAAGTTGCCGCGTGCGGTGGTGAGTGATGACGTTACCACGTGTGTTTCGTTCTTGTGAACTCGTCAGGTGGGCTTGACAGTCCAATTCGAAATAACAAGAACTGTAATTAAGTGAATATACATAAATATATTCAAATTCTGGTAATGCATTTGCAGACAAATTAAATCAATTGTTGATAATTTAGCGAAAAAGTACCGTCTACTTTAGCTTCAAACTGTTCCGTTTTAAGTGGTTTGTCTAAAATACGGGATATAGGGTTATCAAAATAAATCTAAATAATTCAACCTTGAGATATTTTGGAAATCAAAAGTCCAACAAATGGCTTCAATGATAAATGTAAGATGTAAAATTTGAATACTTTGATCATGCCAAAAACGCCTTCACGGTGCCACGAATAGCACTCCTGCAGATGGGACAATTGGAAAGTGCGGGCGCGCACGTGGTACAACACACGAGGTGGGCACACGGCAACAGAACAACAGACGAGTCATCATCCATGCATACCTTGCACATTCTCTGGTCTTTTAACTCAGCGTTTTCCTTTCTTATCTTGTCTGCTGTAGCGGGACTCTCCTTTTCTTTATTTGGGGCTTTAGGGCTTACATTTTTGGGCTTTTCTGTCTTCTTCCTGTTTTTAGCGGAATTTTGGTTAGAGGTTTGATTAGCTGAAGCGCCTACACTTTCGTTTTGCTGACTATTTTGCGCCGCCCTCTTCTCTTCCTCCTCAATGTCTAATAAACCTTCTATGAAAGTTTGCAAATTGGGGAAATCGTCTCCCGTGGTTCTCAGACGCTTTTCTATCGTTTTTCTCACCAAGTCACGTGAGTACCCCATCTCAATAACTTTCTGAGCAGCGGGTGTGTCTAGCCTAGCCTTTATCTCGCGCGCTTCTACGTGAAATGAACTACCATTATTTGCATTCTGCTGAGCCACTCCCCTAATGAACGCTACACCCTTGCATTGTTTAACAAACCCACACCTAGGAAACCATCGCGCATGCTCAGTCCATACGTCATCCTGGGGTTCCCAGTTTCTAAGACCTCCGCTACAGAAGAAACATTTTACATTGTCCCCAAACCCTGCATAAAAGAACCCGGATGTAGCTAATTCTCTCGGCGTTTGTTTCTTATCTATGGGCCACGTGCGGAAGGTGTTTATCCTGTTCTGTTCTAAAGCATATTCTGGATGTTTTGGTCTGTCCGTTACTATGGGATTATCTTCTATCAGATTATCTAAAATTATACCTCTTTGAAAACCACGAGAACCGTTCTCTGAACCAGGGACGCTGCTTTGAGAATTTCTAGTAACATTATTTTGGGTTGATACACCTCTATCTAAGTTATAAGAAAAATTACTTGAGCTAAAATGTGGGCGATTGTTAGACTCTATATTACGCTGGCTCTGTTGTACGAAGGAGCAATTAGGGAAGTGTCTGGCGTGTTTGTCAAAGGCGCGGTCCCCCCTCTCCCAGTTTCTGATCATTCCGTCACAGAAGGCGCACTTCACCATGTCCTCAACGTTCACGTAGAAGAAGCCGGCTCGAGCGAGGTCTGCCGGTCGAACGGGACACGTAGTGGGAAAACTAGAATTAAAGGAATATAGGGGTTAAATCGCGAAATTGAAAATCAACAGGAACTTGATAAATCAAAAGGGTTACTTTTAAATGAAGAGATTATTTTTGAAAGATGACTTAAAATTATTATTTATGAAAGACTAGATTGAAACATCTCTAAAATATTTATTTGTTTCACATCTACCCGCATTTGTTATGAATCATCAATATATGTAAAACCAAGTATACAAAAATATATTAAAAAATTGCAATAAGCTAGGCATGTGGTAAACGGGGTTTTAAAATTAGAATTATACCAACACTTTGAAATAAAATGGTAAAAGATTTCGGAGAATGATTTATATATAGAAAACATCGATATGTCCTTATAGTGTTAGAACTGAGAATTAATCATTAGGATGAGTTATATTCAGAAAAAGCATAAGGCCTTATTTCTTGCTTATAAATATTAAGACATACATGTAAGTAAAGCAAAGGCATCCTGTATATAATACTAATTTCAATTTAAAATAATTCTCCTTCTCTCCATCTTCCTCTCATCCGCATCTCTGCTGTAGAATAGTCTATAATATCGAGATCAGTATGAAAATTACTCACTTTATTAATAATATATCCGCTATCTTATCGTGCATGCAAAGGCAAGTCCAGCGGCAATAACCGTCAGAAAGTGCTATAGGTGATTCAATGACATGGGAGTGAACCTTTGGAGTGAATCTTTTTCGCAGACCCCAAACTTGCATAATTGCCCTTCATAGCTTAGCAAGAAAGCAGGCATAGTTTAGAAAAAAAGGCCGAATCAGGTGGAGACCATCTCGATGGAGAAAAAAAAAACCCGCTTGATATTTAATAAATGTTGATGGATTTTGTAGCAAAGCGAGACATTATTACTCACCTTTGAAAAGTCGCCAGTCTTGTAAGTTCGTCTCGCATAGAATCAGCATGAGAGCTGTCTTCATGGTTAAGATGACTCTGGAGAGGAACTGGACTTGGAGACTGTCTACTTATTGGCGTAGTATTGTTAGCAGCCGCGGCGGCGTTGTCTGGCTCATCTAAGTCTGTGCGTCTTGTTTGAAATCGGGATTGTGTTGTGGATTGCGTTAGAGAAGACAATGGCCGCCTGCTGTCTAGTGCATCAGCTACAGCGCGTATCTGCTGTGTGGATGAAGTCGTTTTGTTATCGGTTGGTGCCATAATCGGGACGTTGTTTTCATCTTGTCCAAGTATATGTAAACAATGAGGAGATAGCGCTGAGTGTTTCTTAAAAGGATTGTCTCCGATCTTCCAGTCTTTTATCACTACACGACAGCTATAACAGCGCACCTCTTCCCCTCTTCCCATATAAAAGAACCCTGCTTTCGCGAGGCGTGTAGGTGATGCGCTAGTTACAGCAGACGACAAATCCTTGTAAGACAGTAAACGCCCGACTTCAAACTGGTACTCCTTTTCTGTGTTCCTTCTTCCTCCTCTGTGCTTCAGTTTAGTATCTTCATACGCCGAAAGACCGAGTGCCATTTACAAGCAGTAAAAATGTGCATTAAATATTTTACGACTTAGAAATTTAAGAAAGTTTTCCGTACATGAAATATTCCTTCAAACAACGGTTTGTTCCCTGCCTGTCTCCCTCCTTCTCTCGCCACTACTACTACTGCACCAAAAAATAAAAAGAAATAATAATATATTAATCTATTTAGAATCTAAAATCCATATAATACATGTATATGTTCACTACACTTAATAATTAAAATACAAAGTTAAAGAATTGTTTTAATTAAAAAACAATGGTGTGAAAAGTAAAGAAAAAAGTACAATTATTATGTTCTGTAAAATATAAAACGCCCAATCATTAATTTGTTTAAACAGAGAAGTTTTCAGTTCTTTTTTTAATCATCTGCTCTGCGTTTCTTAGTCCTGATGGTAATTAAGTGATTGCATTCGTACGAGGCTGCTTATACAAATTAGTTTTTCTCCAAACGTCTTATTGTTGATAAGTTGATATTGATATCAGTGGTCTGTATTTTAACTTACCAAATTAATATTCGATATTAGACCAGCATAATCAATTTTCGGATTCCGCGAAGTCTCTTTCATTGTATTTTTTAAAACTGGTCCAAGATGATCTTTTAATCTTTATAAAAAGACATTATTTCTTAATATAGAAAATAATTTATTCTCTGGTAATTTCACAATTTTCCATCATTCACCTATATGTAACCTAACCAATACCGTTGAGAAATTTGCGATCTGTGCATGTGTCCGGTTTCCAGTCATATTTTTTCTTGGAAAGTCTCCATTAAAGAAATTACTCAAAAAATTTAGAACACATCGAGTTGCAAAATGTCGGAAGAAACAAAGAAGGAAGGAAATGAAATTAGATATAAGACCTGCTTGGCTGAGCTACATGTACACTTAAGCACGGGTTAATAGATCATGATTTTGACAACGAGATTAGAGTATGATTAAGGTAAAAATATCGATATCCCCAGGTTGGTTCTCTTTATAAATTTATAGCGTCAATCGTGTGCCTTGGGCATATGAGGATATGAAACCAAAGACCGTCAGCTGATGAGTGAGATCGTACCCAAGATTAGTTGACTCTTTAATGAACAGTTGCGGTTTTCACACATGACAACAAATAAAAATTCCCTTCCTTTCGCTTCCCAGAAGAACTTTTAAGTGGCATCAGGATTTTTTGGGGGTATTTTTATCTGATTAGGCCTATCCTGTCCTTGATTTTCGACGATGTCACTTATGAGTAGTATTCGTTGTTAAAATTTACCTCTCAGGCCAGCGTTTTATTATATTTAATGGAAGGAGAGCCATTTAGTAAGTGGCTGGCGGATTTCCATATTCATTGTGCGTTTGAATAGGCCTATACAGTTCATTACATAGCTTCATTATTCTTTCGTTATTACTCTGTGGATGGTCCAAAACTCCGCAGGAGCTGAATATTAAGTGAGTAAGCCTCACATTGAGATAATCTCATGTTTTTATCAAAAATCACCAAACTTTCATTAAATATTTATGCATTGATCACAAGGGGCAATTGAATTTGAACAGGAATTAAATATGGATTTCTCAGCAAAATAACAACTTGCTATATTTAGAAAAGGGGAATCCCACCCCCTATTGCGCGTTGGTTATTTTATGACGGAATTTTCCATCACGCAAAACCCCACATGCTCACTGGAATATTTCCCCTATGGCTTAAAATAAAGCTCTTAATAATGATCCTTGACAGACACATTATTTTTTACCGTCACGCAGAAAAAATAGTGAGTCATGCTTCTTATACACAATGTGTTTTTTCCATTTCAGAGCAGTTTAACCTCAATTAATGCATTTTCGGGAGATTTACCGTATAATAGAATTAGGATTTTCGTATTTCGTATTTCTTACAGTGAAAACAAATATATATATAATTAAATGCTAATTCAAATACTTCCTTCACGCAGTTAATACATTTAAGTAAAATTTAATAGTAACAAAAATTAAAAACCATAGATTATAATATCCACGACACGGACTTGGGTTATTCTCAGCGCTACATTTCTTAAATAAATAATAAATAAATGAAGATGAGTATGTAGACTGAATCTAAATTCAATGGTGAATATGTTCAAATAAATGAGGTCATCAGATATCATTATCGATCTTCTTGACCAGAACAATCTACAAGTTCTAAATATAGACCAGATCGGCCATAAAGTAAGCGCGTGCCAATACTCTGTGAATAAATATATATATATATACTTGTACATACCCACCAAACTCCAGAATTCATCGTCCGCTTTAACTAGTGCACCAGCATAATGCATGGTATCCGAGCTGAAATCGACTTTTATATACGCCCTTTACACAAGCTATTAAATTAACACTGGAAATTCCCCAGCGTGCTTTGTCAAGGCAGGGAATTATATCGGATATAATTCCCTGGTCAAGGTAAGGTCCAAGGTACAGTGTATATTGCATCCTCAACAAGGGCCACATTTAAAGACCCTGGCATGTGGAGTAATAAGGTCGTGTTTACAGACCCCCTGTTGTATTGCATAGGTTTGAATTGCAGATGAACACCCTGATATTGGAGGTATCCCAGTCGTTGCTTCATTTCTCAGGCTAATGGCAGCACTCGTAGTTAGTGTCACGTCAGTAAGATTTGGTGTGTCTAAGTGGCCCGTATGGAGTAATGTCCATGAAAAGCACGACCGTCGTATTGCATTGTGATTGCATAAGTATGTTTCAACACTTAACGATAGCTGCACTTTGAAATTGAGCAGTTTGAATGAGACATGACCTTAACATCCAGGAATGTAAAATAACCACATCCACATGTGTCAGGAGAAAAGTCATGGTTTCTTATCACAATCCCTCTCTTGTTCGCATTTTCGGTCGTTGACGATGTTGGGTGCGATCAGACGTGTGGTTGACATAGCAACATCAAGTAAGGGTCTGCCTCACAAGAACTATATCCGTGGTCTGATCTTTAAGACCGATCTTTTGAACTCTTTAACACAACAATACAGCGACAATAAATTAGTACTGGCCCAATAAAAATATTGTGTCTGTAATAATTTAGCTTATTTAAGTGGACCACTGTAAGTTTATCTTGAACTAAACGAGTTCAAATTGTTGACTTAATGTGAAGACTAATCTTGGGGCTATAGCTGTTTTGTGAACCCAAAACACGCATTTAGTCATGACGGGCCCTTTTTCTTTGTATATCATAATAAACATCACCGTCGCCTTCCAATCTTCGCTCAACATCCTCATTATTGTTCCCATTTTCTAAAAGTGCTCTCTCCCGCGTGTCCTCACCATTGCCCGGGTCTGAAATACGGACATGTTCATAAAATTGAACTCTGATTTTCAAAAAATAGATCAAAGTCATATCCTGCTCTGTTAGAAAACAAGAATATACTGCTTAATGACAATAAAATTAAACATTGACATTTAACAAAGTTCATCATGGTACGGAAAATTTAATATAATATAATATAATATAATATAATATAATATAATATAATATGATGATATGAGTAGCGATTACAGAATTAGTTGCATAAAACCACTTTGAGTTTGAGAGGACACTCATCACTCTGCCATCACCATGGGGTTATGAATACGGCTAGTTTCAAGTAAACTACAAACACCTGTGAATGGTGCTTTGGGTATATTAGGATATGAGATCAAAGACCGTCAGCTGAGGGGTGAGATCGTGCCCAAGATTTGTTGACTCTTTAATGAACAGTTGCGGTTTTCACACATGGCAACTAATAAAATTCCCTTCCTTTCGCTTCTTCTTGCGAATATGGGGGATTTTTTTCGCGTCGAAATTAGTCAAGGTGACCAGAAGAGAATTCATTAAAACGCCCCTTCATAATTCTTCCTGGATACTAGTCCTGTACGAATAATTTTATCAGTTACCAAACACCCCAGTAGTGTTGGCAATAAGTTTCCAAGAATGTAGATTTGACAAATGCTTACTTTGGCCTTGGCGTTCTGCTTGGCTCTCGTCTACGACCTCTCTTAACCTCAGGCCTTCTTCTATATTTACAACATTTTCTTCTGAATACATAAATAAAATGTTGGTTTAGGCGATCATTTCTATATTTATAGGCGTTTCAAATGAACCGTTAAAGATAAATTACTTCGATAACACCTATTTCAAGCTTAATATGATGTATAATTTTTTTTTCTGTCACAACTGGAGAAACAATTAATATATATTAATACTGCTCTTCATTTAGTTTTGCACTCAGTGTTTTTGATCATCTATGTCCTTTCGATGAGAGAGAGGGAGAAAGAGAGAGCAATGAGAGAGGGAAGGGGAAAGGAAGGAAAAGTGGGATTATAAACGGAGGTAGGAAAGGAAAAGAAAAAGACACTGGGGAAAGACGGAAAGAGAAACAAAGAGAGAGAAAGAAACAGACCGAGGGAAAAGTACCGTCGCTGAGACCATCTTGGACTTGTACAGGAGGAGGGGTGTATCCGGGCTGGTACTGGTATAAAAATGAAGGAGCATTTTCATGAAGCTGCCCACCATTATTATGAGGTATTCTGCCAGTCCCGTTATTGGACCCATTTCGTCTTCTCTTTGGTCTTACACTTTGTGATGTGGACGGGGCGTTCTCCTCACCCTTTCTTTCAGTTCCCGTGGCTCTTTGTGATGTCATTCTCACAGTCAACTGAAATAATTCACAGAGTAATATATAGGAGTGGAAGAAGCAAGTATAGTGGGATAACCTTTCTTGGTAATTTGTACTATAATTTTGTGCAGATATAATTTGTTGAAATGAAAATGGAAATAAGTACAGTTTTTTTATACAACTTAGAGTCGACTACAAGTACATGTATAAGGTATACATTCACCAATCCATTGCCTCTCGCCCCATGTCCTCTCTCTCTCTCTCTCTCTGTGTGTGTGTGTGTGTGCGCGCGCGCGCGCGGGCGCGCGCCTGCGTGTGATATTTGGTTCAGAGTCATTAGCCTCGATATTCCAAATACTGCATAGTCGTATATGTATGCCGCATATGGATAACATGATATATGGTAAATATAAAACACAGAGTATATATATCTGGGAAGAAGAAAAGATGGAACTAGATGACACTGCAAGAGCGAAAATCTCCACCAGAAAATGTCCATTAC